GAAAACATGGACATCAACAGTTGTCAGTCATTCCATATAGCGCAGAGCCATCAGACGATATCAGAAGAGGCGTACTCAATCACCTTGAGATGAGAGTTTTCTTCAAAACGTCAGACACACTACGAAACAACCTAGTCCATGTAAAAGACCAAATCCCTAAGGATTCTCCATCTAATTGTGTCTATAAATTAAAATGCTTGGAATGTGATGCGATATGCAGCGGACAAACATCGCACGAGAGAGAAATCAAAATCAGAGAAAATGAACGCCGTAAAGCATCTATTCGACCACTGAGAAATCCAACTGAACTAGAAAAACTTGAAAAATCATCAGCCATAGCTCGTCTACACGCTACACTATAGAATCAGGCCACAAAATTGATTTTGTTATTTTTGAAATAACCCAGAAAAACTTCAGAAACCACAAAGAACGTCGAATAACAGAAGCACTTCATATCATGTGGAATCCAAATAGCCTGAATAGGAATGATTATGGACTAAAACAGAATCGGACCTGGTTACAACACCTCCCTCCCCCATGAAATGGCAAAATCAACACAAATGTGATAAGCAAGTTCACTATGTAAACACACACTAATTTCATAATTCTACACACTGATAAAATCCAACAATCTACACTTGATTTCGTTATCTTTACCAATTCACCAACTTGACAACCAAAAATGACCCCAGACTAACGAACGATGATCAAGTTAGTAAACTTTGTTTTGATATCATAACAGACGTAGCATTACCTTTGTTATTTGGTTCTAGTGATCTTCATTGTTATTGTGACTTTCAATATGTCCTTTTAAGTTGAGCTAAGTCTATTTTTCTCACCCCTTAACTCTGCTATATATATACTGAGTGGATTTTCTAAATTCCGGTTTAATAATACTTTGATAAAGCTATTAGCGTTAAATAGCGAAACGTCAGTAAAAACAGCAATATCGTTTTATTGCGAAATACAAAAAATAACTACACACAGACAACTACGGACATCAATTCGACTGGGACAACGTTCAAATATTTGACAAAGGAAATAACAAGAATGCTAGAGAATTTTTAGAAGCTTGGCATTCCAGTGAATCATCAATCAATAGACATATCGAGATAGACAAAATTTATCAACCAATAAGAAAGAAACTTCATACACAAAGGGTCAAAGTTCAAGTCAAAGAAACAACCGGTTCCAATACAAATAACCTAGAAGGTGTGAAAACACACACAAACAACCAATCACGTCCAAGGTGACCCACCAGGAGAGATGATTAATAAACTCGTGGAGAAATCTAAAAGCTCACTTCAAATTGAAGTATGCGCTGAAGATGTGATAGGATCCCACATATTTTGGTATTGACTGTTTAAACTTGCATTTATGGTATGTTATCATTCTCACGCATTTTGGTAGTGACTGCTAGTTTTGTATATTATCATTCTCACGCATTTTGGTAGTGACTGCTAATTTTGTATATATGGTATATCATTCCCACACATTTTGTTACTGACTGTCAATGTCGCACATATGGCATATTATGATTTCTCACACACTTTGTTATTGGCTATTAAGGTCAATTATTTCAAATGCTGTTAGCTGTCCATATTGTTGTAAAATGTATAAATACCATGGCTTTCTTTATCGTTGTTGCACTTCAATACACAGTCACAGTCCAGCCTTTGTCTTTTGATATTTGCGTGCTTTACTAAGTCGGAAGGTACGACGAGCAGATAGACAGATTAGTTCAGGCGCAGACAGAATAAGGTGAAAACGTCTTCATTCAATTCCCTACAGTTATAACAATTGGCGACGGGGTTTTACTTAATTCATCGCAGTTATAGCAAGCAAACGACGACAGTTTTTATTCTGTTCAGCGCAACTATATAACATTTTTGACTGTGTTAATTACAACCCAATTACAATGTCTATCTCTCTGGACGATCTCAAATCTATCTTGCAGCAGCAGCAAGTTCAGAATGAAGCAGCTCAACTAAAATTAATCGAAGCTCTCACTCAGAAGCTGTCCATTCAAGTTCCATCGACATCTCATTCTGACAAATATGAAAGCATCTCAAATTCTATCAGTGAGTTCAACTACGATCCAATATCTGGTCTCGTATTTGATGCATGGTTCAATCGTTACGAAGATGTCTTCCGTATTGAATGCTACATGTTTGATGATGCTGCCAAAGTCCGATTGTTACTAAGAAAACTTGGTACTGTTGAGCACAACAGATATGTTAACTTCATTCTGCCCAAGAACCCACGTGAGTTATCATTCGATGAGACAGTCACCGTTTTATCACAAATCTTTGGTGAACAGTCATCCATGTTTAATATTCGGTATCAATGTTTTCAGTTGACAAAAATGCCTTCCGATGATTATGTGACTTACGCTGGCAAAGTGAACAAGGAATGTGAAAGGTTCAAACCACACGAAATGACATCAGATCAGTTCAAGTGTTTGATTTTTATTTGTGGGTTGAAGAACCCAGAAGATACTGACATACGAACTCGACTTCTGTCACTTGTGGAACAAGACCCGAAAATGACCTTACAAATGGTGACAGCAGAATGCCTACGTTTAATCAACTTGAAGCACGATACTGCTATGGTGGAGTGCAAACGACAGTCGTCTGAATTTGGTTCGATTAACACAGTGAAAAGTCCTCCGATCACCGTTAAGCACACAGCACGTCAGTCTCAGAATTCAGCTAAACCTCCTTCAGTGTGCTGGCACTGTGGTTCGTGGCATTTTGTCAAGTTCTGTCCTTTCAAGAAGCATAAATGCCGTAATTGTCACCGTTTTGGACATAAGGAGGGTTACTGTCCACCGCAGAAAAATCCTTCGGTGAGGAACAGAAGTAGTCGTTTCGAGCCGAAACAATCTCCTCGAGTACAGACTATTTATACAACTTCCAAAGTCGATGTCGCCAGCAAACGTAAGTACATAACACTAGATATTAATGGCAAACGTATTCGTCTTCAGTTGGATACGGCATCAGATATCACCGTAATTTCCCGAACTACGTGGCGCAAACTTGGTTGCCCACAGATTCTGCCGACCGAGCATTTCGCCAAGAATGTCTCTGGAGATAAACTGAAACTCGTGGGTGAGATCAATTGCCAGGTTCAGTTTGGTGAGCATCACTTCAATGGTGTATGTTACGTTACAAACTACCATGATTTGGATTTGCTTGGTCTTGACTGGTTAGACAAGCTCCATATCTTTAATGTACCATTAAATTCAGTATGCTCTAATGTTTCGTCTTCACCACACAACGTTGTTCCCGGAGATGTATCTGATCAATCTCTCTTGCAACGCCGTCGTCAAAAGCACGCTTCTGTCTTCCAGGACAAACTTGGTTGCTGCAAACTGTTTGGCATCCAGCATATTCGTAGCCCCCCGTATCATCCCCAATCGAATGGACAGACTGAACGTTTCGTCGACACCTTTAAGCGTGCTTATGCAAAAGCGAAGGGGGAGGGAACAACAGAAAAATTTTGGATAAATTCTTGCTGCATTATCGTACGAATGAAAAAGGACAGTTATGTGGCAGACACACAGATCACGCTCTATCCAGTACCACGCAAAGGTCAACTCGACAAAGAAGAGCTCCGAAACCTTTTCAAATAGATCCAAAAAGCAAGTCCTACACTCTTTACGGGGGGAGGTGATAGGATCCCACATATTTTGGTATTGACTGTTTAAACTTGCATTTATGGTATGTTATCATTCTCACGCATTTTGGTAGTGACTGCTAGTTTTGTATATTATCATTCTCACGCATTTTGGTAGTGACTGCTAATTTTGTATATATGGTATATCATTCCCACACATTTTGTTACTGACTGTCAATGTCGCACATATGGCATATTATGATTTCTCACACACTTTGTTATTGGCTATTAAGGTCAATTATTTCAAATGCTGTTAGCTGTCCATATTGTTGTAAAATGTATAAATACCATGGCTTTCTTTATCGTTGTTGCACTTCAATACACAGTCACAGTCCAGCCTTTGTCTTTTGATATTTGCGTGCTTTACTAAGTCGGAAGGTACGACGAGCAGATAGACATATAAGTTCAGGCGCAGACAGAATAAGGTGAAAACGTCCTCATTCAACTCCCTACCGTTATAACAATTGGCGACGGGGTTTACTTTAATTCAGTGCAGTTATAACAAGATGTCACCCAGTAAGGTGATGAAAGCTTCGCAAACTAACCATCCAGCTCAGAGAACAAAACCACGTCAAAAACAAAAAATAACCTTTATTATTATTAAAATTATTATTATTATTCCTCATGCAAACATTCCCTCAATACTATCGAATTCTCATTTATACCATCCGGACTTATTATTAGTGATACTATCTCTTTTCTCAATATATGCCTCCACCTGTTTCATCTCACACATTCGTTATTTCATTATGAACCAACTCTCATTGCAGTCTTACTATCTCCTGTTTAACACAGACCACTTTGTACTAGCCACGCCACTCACCTGACACCTTTTATAACCTTGAACTGATTTGTCAATTTTCCTACCCCACACTCAACAAATCTATTATGATTATTCACCACCATTGTCTCCCGTTTCACCGAAATATTTTGGTAATCGATTTCAGCGCAGAGCACGTTTGTCACTCACAAATACGACCATTTATTTTGACACCCGGTAACCACTAATCTGTTATTCTACGTTAAAAAAAATGTATCCGCCGCCGCATAACTGGCTATCATTATTGTAACGACCACAAATATTCTATTTTATAATTGTAAGAACCTGGAGGGGAGAAATTATTGTGAAAAGAATATTCTTCGTTCAGATTGACTTTTAATGTGGTAGTATCAAATAGAACAAAGTGGAGATGTATTGCTGAAGCCCTCCTGTGTACCACTCAGAACCCAAGGGGATAATAGTAATAGTAATACACTCAGTAAAATACCAGAGTAAAGATAGTTCTATAAGAGTTAAACTAAACATTTCAACTATCACTCACCTTCATCATCTATATTGAATAATTCCGCTGTAGTGTCTTCGACAAGTGTGCATTCAACCAGAGAAATTTTACCACAATTCTGTCGACATTTTATTTTATTTTTTTGTTTGGTTTATTATTTGTTGTTATAAAAATTGTGTAGAAAAGCAAAATAAATAGAAAAAATCAATAATAAATGAAAAAATCAATAAAGATAATACTATTTTTATGATAGCTATTAGATAAACATTTCCAGAAAATAACATATCCTATTATTATTATTTCCCTTAATTCCTAGAGGAACATAGGGCTTCAGCTGCACGTCTCCACTGCGTTCGGTTCTCTGCTAAAGTTTTCACCTGGCTCCAAGTCTGCCCAATTGGTTACATCTCCTCTTCACATGACTTCCTCCAAGTCAGCCTTGCTCTGACGACCAACTCGCCGCTTCCATTTCGGCGTGTTCCACTCGAGCGATGGCTTGTCTAGTGATGTCACTTGATGGTTTCCTCAGAGTATGGACAGCCAATCCATCTCCATTTCTCCCTCCTTATTTGTTGCACTATCGGTTCCTGCTAGGTTGGTTCGCTCACCGCCAGAGATCCCTGTTGCTGATCTTTTCTGGCCAGCCATCTGATTTTGACTAGTATTGAGCGAAGACAGTTGTTGATGAAGGTTTGTAGTTTCTTTCAGGTGCTCTTTATGACATGCCAAGTCTCTGATCCGTTTAGTGAGTAGCACTGACTTCACATTGGAGTTGAAAATCCGGTTCTAATTTTTGATGCTGAGTAGTGCTGTTGACCTCCACACACTTGAGAGTAATGAAATCTTGACTTGCTTTCCCGATCCTCGCTACTTTGATATTCTCATCTGTTCTGTCCACCTGCAGTTGGAACGATGCTTCCCAGGTAGGTAAAGGTTCCTCTCATTTATGCTGATTATTGTCTGTTGTTGCTTTTTGTATTGTTTCGAATCTTCATCACTTCTGTTTTCTCTATGTTTACTTGGAGTCCCATCATTGATGCTTCTTCTATCGCCAACTTATTGCTTTTCACTTACATATCTTCCAGTTTGTGGGAAATCGGAGATGTATCATCGACAAAGTCCAGATCCTCCAAGTTTTTCGTTTGAGTCCATTTTATGCCTGTTTTCTTGCTGCCCGGCCCGCTGTCTGTCGCATTATCCACAATCTGGAAGATCAGGCAGCCAGCCAGCCAGACTTGTCTTACTGATGCCTTTACCTCGAAGGATTCCGTAAGTTTACCGTTGTGGATTACTTGGCATACAGCATTGTCGTACAACTGTTGCACGATATGTATAATTGTCGGTGGCACGCCGTAGTAGTGAAGTAGTCATGAAATCACCTCTCGATCTACTCTGTCGAAGGCCTTTTCAAAGTCGGTGAAGTTGAGATAGAGAGAATTTGGAATATTTTCATGCGTAAAGCTGTATACTGCTGATTGAAGAAGATGAGTAGTAGTTGTATACAACTCACTTCAAGCACTACTAGTGTTTACCAGCCAGCCAACCAGCCAGATCGAGGTGATCTAAACACTAGATGACAATTTCAGATCACATACTTCTGATCTCATCTGAATAAACTGGTTTCCCTAGGAAATTGTGATAATTAAGCCTGTAACCACCAATCAAATCCCTGCATACCAACACTTCATAATCAATATGATGATCACTATCCACTCGCTTTATACAGGAAGTTGCTAGAAGTTCAACTGATGGGTCCTTAGAAAAGGCGTTCACGGAGTCAGGCTAAAGGACACTTACTCACCTATGACACTGGCTACCAGAAGTAGGGATTCATGAAACATTACGTATATAAGTCCCAGTTGTTGAATAGTCTTTGAACTCGCCTTATAGCTAGAATATTCTGGGTTCCAAACAGTTATCCAGCATTCTCTGAATTTATAATGCTTCCGTTAATTATATCAGCTCGTAACCAGTCCCGCATCTTACAATTCCTCATGTAAATTAGCTGAAACTGGAGTCAACATTTCAAGCCATGCCGTAGGTCTGCAGAAAAATTGTTTCGTTCAAATGCAATGTGGACAAGTATATTTTCGTAAACAGACATGGAGTGGACTTCATATCTTCATTTTATCAGTTTTGTTCCTATCCAGTTTAAACGTTCCCCACTAGTGAAATATTTGTTCTCAAGGGCCCGAAAAATATGCACGAGTGACACATTGATGGATGAGCTTCGACATGTACATTCAGTTTTATTAGCTAATGGTTATCCGGAAACCTTCATCACTTGTCACAGTAAGGATAGATCACATCTTGAAAATACAGTTTCTGGACCAAAGACAGCCATCTCTATTAACATACCATTCAAGGGTGACCAAATTATAGAGTTGACAGCTAGCTCAAAAACTTCGGTCAGCCATCAAATGCACACTCTACGCTGCATCTACTTTTTCTCATTCACCGAACATTTTCGATTCCTATACCTAGGATTAAAGAACGAAATTCTATGGACTCTACTTCAAACTCTATCTATAAGTTCACCTGCACCTGTGGTGAAACCTATATAGGTAGAAGTAACAGAATGTTCCAATATGGTCGTCGAAAAGAACATGTTCCAAAATGGCTACTAAATCATATAGAAAATTCCAATACAGTTATTAATCTGAATAGAAATCCAGCATCATGATCCATTGTAAAACACTTATTAATGTCAGGTCACAAAATCAAGATGAATGACTGTTTCACAATTATTTCATCACATAACTCTAATTCAAGGTTGGTTATTGAAGGTGATGGAAGCACTTTAGGGAATTAATCACATACAGCCTAAACTATGTGTACAAAAAACAATAGACTTCAACCTTTACCTACCATGAACTGACTACTTGACTATTTATATAAGACTGGTCATTAGTATGGACTTTTGTTTTATATAACTGAGTAATTGTCATGAACTTTATTTCATTATTATTGTTAACCATGTTTAATTGTAAAGCGGTTGCAAAGAAACTACGACATGACGATATCATCTCGCGGCGAAATTTGTCTTCTAAATGCCTTATTCAAGATTATTTTCATTGGACAAGCTTCAACCTTGAACAACCAATCAGAATAAGTTGTTCTATCAGTGACCTAGAGTGGTTTTATGTGTATTTTTAATAGAGCAAGCACTCCCTAATATCTTCTGAAATTTTCTTAATCTTGGCGATGGAAACGATTTTGAGTGGTCATATTCATGATACATATTCACACTCAGTATCATTGTATCCACTCTGTCTCGCCCTCTCTGGACAATAACTTCAGTTTGTAGAATTCCCCATGAATGAAACAACCATCTTTCTAGTTGAACTCACTGTAAGATTCTCTTGTCATTCATCTGATAATTGATCTTCTGATTCTTAAACTTGATTTGGATAGGGAAAAATTTATGAGAAATGATATCTCTGATACAACAGCACAACTATATACTACTGATTAGTTGAGGTGAGTAGTAGTTGTATGCCAGACCACTCATATTAACCAGTAGTGTTTTCTAGTCCTAGTTTTGCTACTCTTGATCAGTACTTTCTCACCAGGGTTCGAACCCAGGACATTCTTGTTACAAGACGAGCTCTATGTATAAATAAAAAGCCTTTATACATACGACTGCAGTTCGATGGTGATATACCACGGGAAATAATTACGAAGAAGTGAAGAAAGTCTGTTCGAAGAACTTTTAATTCTAGTAAACTACAAGTTATGTTTTCTACTCGCCCTATGGTGAATCCTTAATTGAAAGATGAAGTATGTAGACTAGACTAGGCACTTATACTTATGAGGTGAGTTATTTTGACCATTGCTCTAGGAACTTGGGAACATCTACTGGTGTGGCTAAGTATGGCTGTTGTTTCAATCAATATCAAAAGTCCGACATTATGAAGAGAATAAAATACAGATTCAACGAAGAAAGGTTTTCTTTATCGACGAAATCATCTTCCTTCAGAGGCTGTACAGTCGTATTTATACTCACAAAAATATGTAGTGGTCTATTATTTAGTAATAGAGGGTGACATTATTTATATAATTACTCAGAAGTGGCTTTAGAAGTGAAAGTTAAAAGTTGTAAATTACATGGTACTCAACGGCACAAAGATAGAAATTTGATAAGGTTAAAATGGCTATTGAGTGAGAATAAAGGTGGTGGTTGGGTGTCCATTTAATAAGTGTGAAGGGGATGTGAAAATGTACGAAAGGAACATATGAGAGTGATAATACTGAACTAATGATTAAAGTAAAAGCAAACCAAAAATGTTTAATAAAATTAAAATATTTTCACAGGGAACGATTAGTGAAGAGGTTAAGACCAAGGTAGAACAAGAGACTGGACAAACACTTTCTGTATACAGAGCTCGGGGTTGTATTGACAAAGTGCCAGCACCTTCTCCATACACAAAAGCCGAAACCTGAAACCCTTTGTACCATTGGGCCTCACCTTGTAGATGGTCTTGAAAGATGACTTTGGTGGAGCTACATGGCCTGAGTTCACCAAGTGATCGAGAATTGAGCAAGTGATTGTTTGACATTGCCCCTTTGCTAACCGTGCCGGATAATGTTCAGAAATGCGTTTGGAAATTGTGGTCTTTGTGCGGCCAATATAACTGACTCCACAGGAGAAGGTGAATTTATAAAGACACATTGAGGTGGCCCAAGTCGGCAGTTTATCTTTCACACATCCGTTGATCATTTGTCCGCTGCAGAAATTGATATGTAGCTCAGCAATAAAGAAGGCTTTCCTCAGTGATCTGCATAAGCGATTCTGCAGGATTTCATCTGTGGTATCACCTTTAAATTCAACACTCACAAATAGCAGTTTCTTCGGCACCGTTTGGATTCTTTCAAGCTTTTGCTTGAACTTCATGTTTTTGTCGATAAATCTTGGAGGATATCCATTCTCTATGAGGGGGACTTGTCTGAGTCGCCCCAGCTCCCCATCGACTGTCTCACTTGAACATATCCTCCGTATTCTTGAGGATAAGGAATGGAAAATAGACCACCTGGGCCCTATCGGCCGCAAAGTTAGCATTGAAAATCCTTCTCCATCATAATCTATCGGGTATCAGACAAATCGCTGAATGCATCCTAGAACCGAATGCTCTGTCAAATATCAGAGGCTATTGCAATTCGCTTAAAACAACCGGTGCTATCTGCGTGTACAGAAGAAACAGGCCCAGCCAGACACTATCACCTCCCTGGCCTTCTGTGGAGCTTACAAATTCATGAGTTCTGTATTATTTCTCGTAATTTGTTTGACATTCAGTGTGCAGTGTTATGTGGACGCATATTATCACACTTACAGATGCTATTGCACTGTAATTGATTCATATTATTGATTGATTTGATGTTATTTAAACAATATTAATGTTTTTAATAACCCTAATTATTTCACCATTATGAATGGATGCATATAACTGTGGAACCTAGTGATGAGAAATTTATCAAAAAGGCATGTTCTTTATTCAAGTGTTGGTTTGTAGGGATTCGATTGATTGATTGGTTACAAGATTTCATCATGAGATGACATTAGTTAGAGAATCATTGGAAAACCACACCAGGGAGTACTGGATAGCCAACGGTTTCGTCAACCTAGGTTGGGACTCTTCAGGAGTAGGCACCCACACTGCAGGGTTCGAACCCAGGACCTTTTGGTTGCAAGGCTAGCGAGCTCGTAGACCATTAAGCCACTGGGACCGGCCAATCCGGTGGCCATCCCATGAATCTAACTTCTGCCAGTGGCATGTTCTTTGTTCAGTAATCAGTCTTTTGAAGAAGACGAAGAGATACACAATTCAGACTTACCTTGACTAATCTCAACTTTCCATTATTAGTTCTGGCTGTAATCAATAAATGATTGGTGAATAGGAACACTTGACGAATAGCCTCTTTTCTTTCTTTACACGATGTCCCAAAATTGCTTAGCCTTGAACGCGATGAACGTAGTTTATCACACATAACCTGAATTAATGTGCCTATTAAATAAAAAAAATTATAGAAAAAATAAATAAATGAGGAGAGAAACAGAAAAAACACAAATTAAAACAGTCACATGTTGTATAAAGCTGCAAAGCTTATATGATGAAAAACGAACAGCAACTTATTAGCCGCTTATATTGTAACATGTGATACTGACAAGATTTGTCAGTAATATATAGACGCAAAATGAGATAAGAAGTGGTCAAAATTAAAGATAACATATTCAGACAATGGCTACAGAAGTAGAAGCGTTTATTTTTCTAAAATCTGTACTTAGCTTACGTTGTGGTCAAGCAATAATCTCAAGGTCAAACCTTTGGAAAATTAATAACCAATCAGAACAGTTGATTATCCGTTGACCTAGCCGACCATAATTCTGGCTAAATATGCACAAATATGATGGGATTTTCTTCAATAACAACTCCTATTATCAAGACTACTGTCTTCTGTCATTACAATATGACAGGTGGATATGACACACGTGTCAGTCATAGTGAAATAATGGGCTTCATAGCTAAACTGACAGTGATCCTCTTTCGTTCCACTTGTGTTGCAAATGGAATATATAGTTCCAGGGTTTCTAAAGTTACAGCGTCGGTGGTGTTATCTATTAATGGGGGTGGTCTCCACTACGGCAGTGGCGATTTGAGGTGCTGGATACACTGCGAATTCTAACTTGGACTTCTTTCCGTAATCGACATTCAGACGCTCCATCAGTAGAGATGTGAACCCAGATCCAGTACCTCTACCAAATGAATGGAAAATGAGGAAACCTTTCAACCCTGTGCATTGGTCAGATAATTTGCGAATACGATCCAGGACCAAGTGTACTATTTCCTTCCCTATGGTATAATGACCTCTAGCGTAGTTATTCGCTGCATCTTCCTTTCCAGTTATCAGTTGTTCTGGATGGAATAGTTAACGGTAAGTTCCAGTTCGCACTTCGTCTACGACAGTTGGCTCCAGACCTATAAACACTGCTCGTGGAACATGTTTTCCAGCTCCTGTTTCACTGAAGAACGTGTTAAACGAGTCATCTCCTCCACCGATAGTCTTATCGCTTGGCATTTGTCCTTCAGGTTGGATACCATGTTCTAGGCAATACAACTCCCAGCAAGCATTTCCCGGAATTCGATCCCGTGCCAACGCACACTTGATATCTATGGTCGGCCTGCAAAATTAGGGCTACCAACATCACATGGTGAAAATTCCATACTTGTACAGAAAGTGCTGTGTGGCATCAAGCTGTAATCTGCTAAAAGGGGCCCTAACAGACTTCCCATAGCAACACCATCAACTTGGCGGAAACAATCGCCTTCAAAAATATAAACCTAACATTGTTAGTAGGCAGAAGTAATAAATCCCTCAAAAATAAGATGTGGAGAACGGCATCAACACATTGTTTGTGGAATTGTAATCACAACACCAGAATGTCAACTGTTTTGATCAAAAACACATTAGGAAATAACGAGTTTACATCAAAAGAGTACATATTCTTGTTCATAATATTAATATTACTATCGTCAAGAACATCAACCAATTCAAATGTATCTTTTAACACATACTTACAGAATTGTGTTTTGACTGGATTCAATAATTCCACTAACCATTTAGCAAGTTTATGCGTTGGGGATTTGCACAGTGACAATATAGGACGTAGAAAGAGGATTATTGGGTTTATGTATTTTTGGCAACCCATACAAATGTGGAAATTTACAATCTGATGGCTTGAATGAGTCAAATTTATATTTACTTATAGCATTTAGACCACGAAGCTTCATTAGATTAGCTGTCACTGTGCCCTACAACAACTGAATGTCTTTTGAGGAGTGTTATGTACTCGTCGCTAAATTATTGTTATGGACTGGTCGAGAATTTAATAGTCCTGACGCAAGAAGGCGGAAATCAGAAGACCACTAGGTTTGCGATGATACTTCTATTCCAAACACAAGGAGAATGCAATAAGTGGTATCACACCAAAGTGGTAAGTGTAAGTAAGTCACACAAATTGTGAGAACGAAATATATATACGAAATGTTCCAGACAAAGTGTGTGAACAAATCATTAGACAGTCTTAACATGAATGGCTAATTATAATGAAGTATCGATCCATATATACATAGCGAAATATAGCAGACATGTCAACAACCACCATATATGGATATATGTCACCAAGCAACGGACTGTCAACAAACACTCATATTATATTATATATAATATAGGGAGAATATACATTGTTAAAGGAGACAGGTTCATACAAGTGAAATGGTCACAGACTAAGCGAGCAAACAGAAAGAGAGACCAACATGCACACACACATAAATATATATATGTGTGGATACATATCAAGGAGGGATCACGGCTAAATTTGCTTTCATCATCAAGAATAGACATCATTTTAGATTTGTAGTCACCTTTATTCATCATGAAGACTCCAGAACCTTTATCAGTTTTCATAATAATTATATTAGAATTTACCCGTAGCTGTTTCAAGGCTTTAAAATGCTAGGAATTTAAAATACTTTTCTCCTTTGGGTTGTTGTTTAAAGAGTGGTGAGCTATATCCACCAGCTTGACCTTAAACCAACCAACCAACTAACCCCGATCTTGATCAAATGTTGTGGCAAGAGTTTGGAGTTGGTCATATAAGTTTTCAAACTCAGCATAGAGATGGCTAAATTCGTAAATTGCGTGCAAGGCAAATAAAATTTGAGTCCAAGAGATAAAGCTTCTTTCTGATCAGTAGATAGAGTAATATCAGAAAGATTTGTGATATACTTATCAGGATTCACCGGGAAAAAAGATCTACGCGGTTTCGATCATCAGTTGAACTCTTCAACCTAATTTTGTATATTTGTCTTTGTTTTCTGAGTAACATCTTTACAAAACAATGGCTCCAGGAACAAATGAAAACTTCACAATCCATTAATGGTGAGAAGAGACGATGACCCAGCTCTTCTATTGTGAAACATATTATAGAGGAGACAGGACATGAAAACTGACGTTAACAGATCCCTTAAACTTATCTATAAAACGTGTTTGGGCTATATCCTGAAGTCTGTGGAGGCCTTTGCTGGTAATTAGAAAGTTTGAACCAGGTTTATGCGTTCAAGGTAAACATTCACCATCATACTAAACCTTCTTTGCTAAACTAAGTTTTGTTCTGACACCAGTGTAGATGTAGCATTACCTCTACTACTACTAATAATAATAATTATAGCTTTATTCCAAAAACAGTACTCATGATACAGCAAGGAATTTTCAGCATTTCAGCACAATATTGCACCTAATTTACTCAAAAACGACAAAAAAAAATTAAAAATACCCATTACATAATAGTAATAAAACGATTGTTATAGCAGCTACGTATCAAAATACTGTGTGCCATACGGAGAAAAATATGCATAAAGTACAAAATTGTAGTAATAATAGTAATACCAACTAAAAATAAAATAGCAGAGTAACGATTTAAACGATAGAAAGTGTGACACCATAAAATACAGAAAGATGAACGATAAAAGGGTCGATTCACTGTGCTAATTACATGGTAACTTGTAAGTTTCACGTCTAACAGAGTCTTCATCACATAAAGTACGCGCTAAATAGGGTATTGTAGAATTTCTATACTTAGTAGTACGAGCATATATCTTTTTATATTGATTTCTCGTCCTACCTGATGAGATACAAGGGGATAGGTGTGAATAAAGGGGGTGCAGAGGGTCTGACAGTATAGCCTTTGCCCATTTTGTACAAGAATTTATATGCCTCTCGACTATAGTATTAGCGAGCTCATGCAGTGGCAGACCACAAGCTCTACTCACAGCATTTAATACCCTTCGTAATATGATATAGTCTTCTTTGAGATGCCCAGGAAAGATTAATGGAGAGCAATAGAGTACAATAGGTAAAATACAGAAGTTTAAAAATTGCAAAACTAAAGGTTGGTTCATACCTGATTGTCTTAACTTTTTAATGTAGAAGATAAGACGAAACATTTTCTTAGAGATAGATAAGATATGGGATGAACATGAAAGGTCAGAGGAAAAAACTAATCCAAGGTATTTAATGCTTGATTTGGTTTCAATTTCCGTGTCATCTATGCTACAGGGATCATGAGAGTTAACTAGTTCAAGTAAGTCACGTCGATGCTTGAAAGTAAAGTCAAGCGCCTGACATTTGGAAGGATTTAATATAAGACCATTTGACTTGGACCAGTTGTTGATGTCCAACAGAAAGCTATTAAGTTTGGAGCTGTCAGACTCGGAAGTGATAGGCAGTGATACAGTCAGATCATCTGCATATTTGACAAAGTTAGTTTCGTTTGAATGAGGTAGGTCATGTAGGAAGAAAGAAAAAAGAAAAGGAGAGAGGACAGCACCTTGTGGAACACCGGATTTTGTAAGCGAGGTAGAAGAAGATTTGCCGTTATATACAGTATACTGCATTCTATCAGAAAAGTAGGAATGCAACCAAATCTTTGCCCAGGATCCTGTTTGTGTCAACGATAGCTTATTTAACAAAAGGCCCCTAGGTACAGAGTCAAAAGCAGATGTGTAGTCTAAGAAAGCACTACGAACATATTTAGCACCTTTGTCTAATTTGTCTATTTGGTTTAGTGATCTTCATTGTTATTTTGACCTTCAATATATCCGTTTAACTTGACCTATGTAGTTAATTTTCTCACCCCTTAACTCTCTATTAATTTCATATATACACATTCCTTTGTCAAGCCCGTGTGTGACCAGATTATTCGAAATGTGTTGAGCGGATGAAACATTACACAATTCAGACAAATTACATCTTGTTATTGCTTTAACTAAATTCATAAACGGAATTAATTGTTTTAAATATAAATATCTGCTATAAAGGGGGTCCTAACGGACTTCCCTTAGCAACACCATCAATCTGGTGGATACAATCGCCTTGGAAAAAAAATGTAAACCTAACACTGTTAGTACTCAGAAGTAATAAATCCCTTAAATAAGATTTTTATTTT